CCACCGCTGCGCTCACCAGCCATAAGCCTGGTTTCTGGCTGAGCGGTGTCCCCCAGGTGGTCAGTGCATACCAGTCATTCTGGTCGTTCCACCATAACGGTTGCTTAGGCTTCTAGTATATAGATAAATTTGTGTTTTTCAGGGGGAAATGCATTTCAAATTCCAAAGCTCAGGTTAATTATGAATTCTTGAAACATAACAATTTGTAAGTGGGTGGCTACCTATAAAAATGCTGGCAGTGGCTTAAGCAAGTTGGCATTATTAGGAAGAAGAGGAACTGGCTCTTAAGTCCTCTGCTTATAGGGTCAGCAAAAGAACTGGAAGTATCATCAAGTCTACTGTAGAGAAACTTAAAATAGCTCCTTGTCATCACTACATGTTTAGTGAAGGACGAGGGAGAAAAGTCTCTTTAATTAACTTCAAAGAACATTTTCAAAAAGAAGACAATATGGGAGCAATTATTAGTTTTATTAGTAGGATCACAAAAGATTATGAAAACTCATCCTATTGGTAGACAGCTAATCAGAAGATTGATGCAAGGATATTAAAAAAAACAAGTTTGTTCTTTAAAATGTGGAAGTTAAGCACCCTTGAAGATACTGCCTTCCCTAGTCACTGGCTTTCTAAAACATAGGGAAATGAAAAAGTGGAAGTGAAAGATTGAGTAATCAACCTAGTTTTGCTTTCAGGTCACTGGACTGACTAAACTAGGAAACATAAAATTCCAAAAGCCTGCAAAAATTCAGAAATTCATCAAAAAAGTGTTAACTGAGTGCTTCCTTTCTATTTCCAATGTATTTTAGAGCATGAGTGAGCACGCATGTACATGAGCAGACATAACATAGAATGGCTGGCTTGTACTGGTTCTAAAGGAGTAACTAAAAACATAAGAACCATAGAGTAAAGCAGCATCCCTGGTAAAAATGAAACCAAAAATTGAGCTGTGATTTATGACTTTCTGGAAGATAACCCTACGCTACAACTTAAACAGATCTGTAGCAGGTGTGTAATCTTCTGCATCCGCTCCCACCTGCACCCCACCAGCTCCTTCAGTACTGTCTCTCTCTTAAGGCACCAAAGACTTTCAAACTCCTAGTTGTGTTATCTAGCCTTAGCCTTGTCCTGTAATGCTCTTTCCCTCTATTCCCTCCACTACAGTCTCAGTGGTCTTTTGTTCCATAAATATTCAAGCCCATTCAGATGTAGAAACTTGTTCTAGCTCTTCTCTCTAACTGAAAAGCTCTTCCTCTTGTCACAAGATAAATTCCTTCTTGTTACTTCCTCAGAAAAGTGTTTCCCATACCTAAACAACCACTCTAGTGCTGATATTATTTATTTTTAGATTTGTTTATACTCTTCTGTTCCCACGAGAATGTAAGATCCAAAGAGCAAGGATCTTGTCTGTGTTGGCCACCATTATATTCTCCACATTGAGAACAGTTCTGGCCTATAGCAGACACTCAATAAACATACTGACTATGTAGATGAAAAGTGGTCATTCAGTATTTATTGAGCATGGTGCCATATGCTGGCTACATGATGCAAACTCAAGTAAGAAAGCTCATGGACCTTGCAGTTTTGTGAGAGACCAAAGCAAGGGAACACACAAATACTTGCATATTGTAACAAATGCTATTAAGGAAATAAGTGTTATGATTGAGAATTGAGGAGAGGCTATTTTAATTAGGGTGGTTAGAGCAAAAAGGTACGTGCCTGAAATGAATTTGGAGAGGTAGGTGGGAGCCAGATTATGTAAGGGGAATGCCAAGAAGTTCGAAGTTTATTGTATATTTTAAAATTGGAAGCTTCTAGGATTTTAAGCAGAGAATGAAAGCTGATTTGTGTTTTTAAAAGTATCTTAGACTTCTAGTCAAGTTGACTTGAGGTTCACAAACTCCCCATCTTTTTCCAAAACATCACTGAATGAATACAGAAAATTTCTAAAGAATATCCCAAGTATACACACAATTAATATTTCTATGAGCAAAAAAAAAAAAAAGAAAGAAGAAAAGTATACTAAATCGGTTAAGTCCAATATCATGCCCACAGATATGCACCCTATGCTTAAACAATTTTGTGGATGAATCTTATCCACTCTTTGAAAAAAACAAATAATCTCTATTTTACAAACTGTCCTATGAGAACATGAATACGAAGGATCCACTCAGCTTGAGGATAGTGGTTACTTCTGAAGAGGGAGTGGAATGGGATGGTGGAGGCTACAAAGAAAGTTTCAGCTATATCCATACCTTTTAGTTCCTGAAAAGGTCTGAAGCAAGCTTGGCAAAATGTGAATAGCCCTCAAGTATGAGTGGTAGGTACAAAGATGCCATTATGTTGTACTCCATATTTTCTATGTTTGATATATTTGAAATAATTTTTAAAAAATCAATTGTGCCTGATGTCTACACAATGAAATGGAAGAGAGCAAGAGAGAAACAGGAAGCCCTTCTAGAAAACATGTGTACAAATCCTGGCTAGAGTAATGGTGACCGAGACTCAAGGTGATAATAATGAGATGAAGTAGATTAAAATAAGATTATGTTTCCATGGAATAATTTGTGGAACTTATTGATAGACTGGATATGAGGAGCTCAGAAGAGGAAAAACTCAAGGTTAACTTATGGCTAAAGCAATGTGTACATGAAGGTGCCATTTTATCCGATGGAGAAAACTGGGAAAGGAACCAGTTAGAGGGCACGACAGAATCCTATTTTATGTGCATCTCCTATTTCTTCCACTCAGACATAAGCTCTTTATGGGGAGCATCTGTCTACTTTACCTTACCTCTGTATTCCCTAAAGTTCTTAACATAACTATGACAAACCAATGTTATACAGTATACACTGCCTATGTTCAATTGCTCCTCTGTATCTGGGATTCTACATCCATGGATTCAACCATGGATGAAAAAAAGTTACATTGTTGCTGACATGTACGATGTAGTTAGGCCTGTGATAATTGTGTCTGTACTAAACATGTATGGACTTTTTTTCTCATTACTCCCTAAGCAATATAATATAGCAATTATTTACACAGCACTTACATTGTATTATATATAAGTAATTTAGAGATAATTAAATTATACAGAAGGATGTGAGCAGATTATGTAAAGGACTTACGCATCTGTGGATTTTTATATCTGCAGGGGATCCTGGAACCAATCCTCCCAGTAACCGAGGGAAGACTATATTGTTTTGAAAACGAGACAACCTCTTTAAAAAGTATCAGCTTTCAAAAACATGTGATATCACTTAATAGTCTAGTAACAAAAAGAAACTTTCAAGAAGTTCCAATAAGTTTTCTCATGCAGCTTATTTAGATTTTTATGTCCCATATAAATTTGTTTTCCACATTAAGCCATTTTAATTAATCTCATATGATTTTACCAGCTAGATGCATTATAAGCTATGCAATATTAAAAGGCAAAGCATTGTAAATGGGATAAAATTTATAATAGGGTTATTATTACATAGCATCTCATCAATTACTATTCATGTATTTTAGTTATACAGAGCCCCTTATCTCATATGATTCATAAACGACCTCTAATAAGTAGGCAGGAACGTTTCTATAATATTTAGAGTTGGTATTCACACCGAAAGCATTAGGTCCCTTATCATAAGGAAACTAATGCTTGAAGTGACTTGTCCAAGGGTGTACAGCAAGCTAATATAACTGCAAGCTAATTTTGCTGTGCTTAAAGAGCTGATGCTATTATAAGCTTATAAACATTATGAAAATGTATAATGACCAAATCTCCTCAAAATTTATCCAGAAGATAGACTCTAATTATTCCTTTGCTTACTTTTGAAATCAGAATCATATGATATAGAGATTTTTCTAATACAATTATTGGAATGGTAGGAATAAAATCATGTAGACCTTCAAGGGATCATTAAAGCAAATGTTTTCCTTCCTAAGATAAAAAGGTCACCAAGTTTCTTTAGAGGGAATTAACTGTGTCTAAAAAGTCATAATACTTGAGAATATTATGATACCACAAGTTTCGATTCTTATTTTTATGTTGCTCAAAACCAAAACAAGTATATTTCAACCACTGCATTTGGCAACTATCCCTTTTTGGTGAACCATGACAACTAAGCATTAAGTCTAGGTCAATTTTTATTTCAAACACAGTGAATGCTGTGATTTTAAGCACTTTCAGAGTATCTTTATGCTTGTATTTCCCCTTCGCAATTTATTCCATTAACTTGGGGGTTTTGGGGAGGGCAAGGAGACTTTTCTGGTAGTTCAGAATTCAACAAAAGTAAGGTCCTCAAAGCCATACATATAACTATCCCTTACAAATTAATCAGGTCTTAACAATTTTTTTAATACCTCAGAAGCAGTACTTTTGCATGCCATAGTAAATTCCAAAAGGTTTCTTAGGAAAATTGTTACAAATTTTTAAATGTGAGAATGGAGCCACTTAAAAATATAATGATCCCACATTTTTAGCAATGCCACTTGTTTCTGGGTTTACATAACTTAGTATCAATTTGATTTCTCTGTTTTAGAGGATGGATGTAAATGGAAACAGAATTGAGTTGAAAGGTGTAATAAGTGTGCACATCTCTTCTTAAGTTCAACACTGTGTTTTTAGTGGATTTTATTTTGTAAAGAATAAAAACCAATGAAGGCGGCACTGGGAAGTGACACCATGAGTACTTCAATAGTTTAACTCTGGCCATAGTGCAAAGTTAGAGATGGGATAGTATTATAATAAAAGTTAGAGACTGGAAAGCTGTTATAATAGTCTAGGTCAGGAGAAAGCTTTATAAAGCCCAGATTTCTGGGTCCTATTCCTAGAGATTCTAAGTCAGTAGGTTTAGAGCAACTTCTCATATCCTTAGTAAAGAGCTAAACATGGCTGGCTGGTAGTGAGCTGGAGCATCGAAGGGAAGATACCCTTGATGCTGACACCTTTAAATGAGTATCAGGAACCCATAAAAGTTACAAGCTGATTCTGCATTTTTACCACAAATGAACAGACTCACCTGGATCAGGGTCATATTTTAGGTCCAATGGGCATACAACAGGGTGGTATTCCTTCTAAACATAATATAAATTAAAACAGATTTAATTTCACCACTTAATGCCTCATATAAACATTTTCTTCAGCTAATTTAAGCAAATATACTATTAGTTGTACCATTCTTTTGCCCCCCAAAAAACCTCCCAAAATGAAATCCTGCAATCTGTAGGAAAGGGAGAGGAAAAGAAAAGATCAATCTAAGTCTAAACTATACTTTTTATAGTATTGCCACCTACTGCATACACTAAGAAATTACACCATAAAAAATTTAAGACAAGCAATCAAGCAAATTAAAGGCACAGAGACTAAATTTTGTGTTTCAAGTACTAGGTAGTCTCCAAATTATGAGTGAACTGTTTTTCAAAAGTTCACTTTAAGACAAGGGTTTGGAACTCAGAACTCATATTCCCACAGGAACTGTTTTTAAAAGTGGCTGCCACTGCCATGTCAGCACATTAAAGCCTATATATCCTGTGATACACCAGGACTACAGTAGCAGAATTACAGGAACAGGATCCACAATTCAGGCAAAAAGAGGAAAATCTTCCTCCTTACTCTTTTTTTTAAAATATATTTTATTGATTTTTTACAGAGAGGAAGGGAGAGGGATAGAGAGTTAGAAACATCGACAAGAGAGAAACATCGATCAGCTGCCTCCCGCACATCTCCCTCTGGGGATGTGCCCGCAACCCAGGTACATGCCCTTGACCGGAATCGAACCTGGGACCTTTCAGTCCGCAGGCGGACGCTCTATCCACTGAGCCAAACCAGTTTCGGCCTTCCTCCTTACTCTTGCCCAAAGCTAGCAAGAGCCAAGAAGGTTTTTTAAAAAGCTGTCTTGGGAGCTGGGGACTAGGGGTGATGGTGGAGGGATTGAGAAAGAGAGAAAAGAAGCTGTCTTAGAATAGAAGTAATCCTGTTATTTGCAGATTTTTAATATTTCCTACAACTTTTGTGATATGCTATGTTAGTACAGTTTTGGTAATATTATTATATTTAAAATCTTTTTATTGAAATATTAATGTTTATTGCATGCAACATTATTATACTTAAAATTGTTTTTCTTGAAAACAAAAAAATAATAAATAATAAATAAATTTTAAAAAAGAATCTGTCTTGCCCTGGCCAGTTTGGCTCGGTGGACAGAGCATCAGCCTGCGGACTGAAGGGTCCCAGGTTCAATTCCGGTCAAGGGCACATGCCAGGGTTGTGGGCTCAATCCCCAGTGGGAGCGTGCAGGAGGCAGCAGATCAATGATTCTCTCTCATCATTGATGTCTGTCTCTCTCTCTCTCTCTCTCTCTCTCCCCCTCTTCCTTCCTCTCTGAAATCAATAAAAATATGTTTAAGTGGAGTCTATGTCCTCTCTTTAAAAATTAAAAAATAAAACAAGTAAAAATAAAAAAAGAAACTGTCTTTAGTATCTTCACCCCATCCGTTTTGCATCACTTTTAAACTTCCACAGCAGTACCTTGATTAGGCCTGCCAACTTTCTTTCTTTTATGCAATACTGATTACTAGGTTTTTTTCAGGGAAGAAGGGGTAGTTAATAGGAAAGGAGACACATTTTGAATGTCTTTCCTAAGAAAACTTTAAAAAGGGGGTGGGGAATGAAGTAGAGTATTTCTTTGAAGAATAAGTGCTACAGAAGAAAAAAGGAAAAATTCTGCTTATAAATATTTTTCCTCATAGAATGACTAAAATATTTTAGATAAAGTACCTGCCTTTACTGTCTAAAACAATTCCTGAAAGGAAAGTAATCAAAAGATTTTTATGTAAAGTATGCTCATTTTAAAAACTAAGGGAAAAGAGTATATCACAATGTAAAACAACATGTATTTCTAGCTGTAGAGGCCAAAGTCACTTCCCTGCAAACCTACTTTTGACCCATCATGACTTTGGGAGCTAAACAAATTACACACAATTCATAAAGCAAATTTCAGTATTTCGAAAAGGTACTCAGTTTTCACCATGAATTTGACTAAAGGGTCTTCCAAAATATGTACTCATCTATACTTATAATAGGGTAATATGCAAATTGGTCACATAACAACCAATCAGTAGGAGGGCGGGGCAGCAAGCTACCTACAGCACAGATCTGTGTGCAGATCCACTGGTATACAAATAATATGCTAAACAGAAATGACAAATAGAAAGAAAAGCCTTAAAAAATAAATTTCTCTTTTTTTTTCCTTCCTGGTATCAAAATTATAAAGTCATTGTCAATCTTCCATCTTCAAAGTCTATGTTAGTATGTTAGAACAGGAAAAAGTCTTCAAGAGACAAAAACAGTAGCAATTGAAGGAAAAATAAAAATGTCATTTATCTCTACATGATTTCTATACTTTAATTTTTTATTGTAGTTATACAGACACAACATAAACTTTACTATTTTAAAGATAAATGATCTTACCAGAATTTCTTGTTTTGCTTTTATAATTTTTATAACACATTCAAGGATCTTTCTGGGATACTGCTTACGTTTCGTGGCTAAGTCTACTATGATTTCATCAAAGTGATCTTCAAGTTCTTTGATATCAGAATCTATTTAAAGAAAAAAACATATCAAAAAAATTTATCAAAACACTGTTTATATTCTACATAGACATGTAATGTAATTAAACTAAATTTAGAAAACACAAAGTAATTAAGGAAAACAAATATGGCAAGTTAGTGGATTCCCTCACTTTGGTGATTGATTCATTCATATATTGAACAATTGATTAATCAGAGAAACCTATTTTTTTTAAAATACTAAATACTAACTTCTATTATAATATTCTCACAGTTATAGGGGGAAAGAGGCCCCGGACAGTTAGCTCAGTTGGTTAGCGCATCATCTCAATATGCCAAGGTTGCAGTTGGATCTCAGGTCAAGGCACATATAAGAAGCAACCAATGGCCCTGGAAGGTTTTGCTCAGTGGATAGAGTGTCAGCCTGTGGACTGAAGGGTCCCGAGTTCAAATCCCATCAAGGGGACATGCCTGAGCTGTGGGCTCAATCCCCAGTAGGGGGCATGTAGGAGGCAGCCGATCAATGATTCTCTCTCATTATTGATATTTCTCTCGCT